GGGGGGGGGGGGGGGTGGGGGGGGGGGGGGGGGGGGGGGGGGCGGAGGAAGAGGAGTGTATGTAGCAGCAGTCGGCTGCAGCCTTGTTGGCTGGGAGTCAGGCTGGGGTGGTGAGGCCCGGGTGCAGGGGAGGAAGGGGGAGCCAGCGGGTGTCGGGATGTAGCGGTGGCTGGGAGGTGATCTCGGAGTGCTAGTCAGTCACACTGGGTGACTATTTATTCTTTCACCATGGCAGTGAACTCTGCAAGAAAGGAAGAAAAACAACACATTTGTTACAATTAGTTATTTTCACTTTATATTTAAAAAAAATGTACAGTGAAAATGGTGTCCACGTTAGGTCAGGTCTCAAAATTTGATCCAAAAGTTACTGATGCTTTGAAAAATGCTAATAGTAATACATAGAGTGAACAATTTGTAGTTAGGGACTGTACACAATTAGGCGGGAAAGTGGGGTTGAAAAATGGGAGAGTTACGCATTATTTACTTTTTGATTTGTTTTCAATGTGCACCATGCATCATGAATGTTTTGTCATAATCAGGGCTTTTAATTTCCAGTAGATAGTAGGACGAAAATGTTTTAAGAAACAGTCAAATTGGGATACAATATGTAAAAAGCACATTTTCTTTTCACTCGCAGTCACAGTCACGTTAACTTTAGTCTGACCTTTAATAAATTTAGACCTATCATAAAGAGTTAAATCTTTAATGTAATGCATGTCGGGCACAACCCGACCAGTCCTACTAATGGGTGAAGTGAAAGCATTACAACGCTGCTGCCCCGTTAGCTCATTCAGTGACGGTGGTGATGACTGTTTATTGGTTCACTAATTGGAGAGCAGCTGCGATGAAGAGGATGCACCACTTGTTATTTTTACCATCATTTTGTCAGTTGCTAATTTCACTCCTAATTTTGTTGTGGAGAGTCCCTTAATGAGTCGACTCATGCTATCGTGTATGTGTGTGTATATGTGTGTTCTCTCCACAATCATTTTGCTTGGTGTCTGTTTGTGTGACCTGGTGACGCTCCCACTAATACAACAATGTTTACCATCCACTCCAATCTTGCCGTCACCATCCTTGTCGGCTGCTCTTAAAAATTCTTTGGTTTCCTTGTCTGTCAGGTCCCGGCCATCTTTGGCGAAACCCTGCAGGACGAATCTAAGCAGGGACAGAAAAGCAGAAAGGATACATGTCCCAGAACATTTGTTGCATCCTTTGGCTTTATATGTGTGTGTGTGTGTGTGTGTGTGTGTGTGTGTGTGTTTGTCTCACTTGAGCTCTTCCTCCTCTATGAAGCCGCTGTTGTCGGCGTCCAGCACCAAGAAGACCTTCTTCACTTCGTCAAAAGACTTGGCCTTCAGACCGACCATCTCGAAAAACTTCTTATGGTCAAAGGAGCCAGCAACTGCGCGCACACACACATGCGCGCACACACACACACACACACACACACACACACACACACACACACGGAGGCACACAGGCATACAAACACAAAGATGCAAAATGTCAATACTATACAAACATTTCTTTACATTTCACAAAAAATATTGACTTTTTGCATTGAAAGGGTTTTAATGTTAGGAATGCAAAAACACTGATTTTCTATCGGATATCAAAATGCTTGAAATGACAAAACATGATTTCTCCAAAGTGCAATTTAAATAATTGACACTGTTGGCCATGACATAAACCCATATGGTTGTTATAGTACCTAAGAGAGTCATGTATTTCTTTGTTCTATAACAATAAGGACATTGTATAAAGAATAAATTATTATGGGAATACAGTTTGGGGCTAAAAACAAACACTTCTAGAACCAGCTGCCATTGGCCAGATCTGGAAATTGCTTTTACCTGCAAATGCATCTAGAGATTTCTTGATGTCATCAGCGTTGAGAATGCTGCTCATTGCCATCTCAGCTGTTGAAGAAAATTGAGATGAGAATAAAAAGACAGAGGAGAGGGCGACAGAGAAGGAAGAGAAGGACAGAGGTTAAAAACGAGGTCGATAGAGAGCAGAGAGAGAACTCAGAGACTTTCTCCTGTTACACTGGTGACACTGTAGAGATGGAGCAGGAAACCAGGACATGTGGCAAGTGACAGACTGAATCAGTGACCATCGAAGAGGAGTGACAAAGGGAGAGAGGGGGAGATATTGTAGAAAGGGGAAGATATACCGGAGCAGGACGGAGTTGAGAGCAAGAGGGGGAGGAGGTTTGGTTGTGGTGCTATGGGACGTGTCAAAATTAAGATATGACGGAACCAGAACAACCAGGGTGGTGTCCTTGTCGGTGTCTTAATCTGTCTGATATCAATGAGCTGTTAAAGATGAAAGCAGGGCACCGAGTCAGCTGTGTCTGAAATACCATAGGAGAATCCAGTTTGTCAGTTGGAGAACCGTCTTGTACCTCACACTATGAAAGGTGAACCCGGCACTAAGTGGCCCTTTGGCTTTTTACTCCGTGCATGTGACCGAACCCGATCGCTGCACATGAAGTTGTTACCTTCCCCCCCGAATTTGACCGACGCCCTCCTCTCCTCTGTTGCTACTGCAAACGCACGGCGACTTGACGCTGAACACAGAGATGGACAAACACGAAGAGAATCTACCGAGGTGCTGAGAAGGAGTGAGCGACATGTGGATTAGAGGATGCGGTGCTCTGATTTCACTTCGCTGATCTGGCAAACCTTAATAGGGATTTGCTTTGGGACACACATTATTTCAAGTACGCTGTTCGACAGATGATTGACACCTCACTCAGACTTCCACACAACCCTCACCTGCACCAAACTGAACACACACACAACTTGTTGAGCAGTCAGCTGTGTTTGCTTTCAGCAACAACAAAAAAACTTTTTCTTGGAAGTCAAATTTTGCTCAAACTAAACATGCAAAGAGAGACATCTTCATATAAAAAGCCTGCTTCTTGGTCCAGCTTCCCAGCTCAATGGACTTTTTCCAGACTAACATCTCTTGTTGACAAGACTAGAACTCCGCATCTAAAGCGTGACATCAGCGACACATAAGCTGTGCTGAAGCATCAAGTCCTTTCAACAAACTCTGACTTAAATTTGGCCGCCATTTTCCTCAGAACGGGCCGCTGACAGCTGCCAGCCACACTGTCTTCAACAGACGGACTAATATCAGACATTTACTGGTTTTTAAGTAGGCTCCATGAGGAGTATACAGGAACAGAGCTGTGTCACATAGCGAGCATAAAAAGAGTGTGGATGGATACTTTGATATCTGTTCTGTGAGTTGGGAGATTGACGGACATCAAAAACACTTCTAAAAAGGATTTTTGTTTGGGTTTTTCCCCTCAGATATTTTAGTGTAGAACAAAGTGGTACACTGACAGACATTGCCATCCCCAGAGCCATGAAGCCAGCATGGCTAAAAACCTGCACTTGTGAGATGTGGTCTGGCTTTTCAAGGATACTGGGATCCTGTGTAGGAGAACGTACTGTAAACCCCTGAGCTCTGAGCCATAGAAATAGAATAGGAGTAGAACAGACATTGAATTGTTCTCTTCGCTCAGTAGACTAGAACAAAAAAAAAAGTCAATTGGTTGTTAGTTGTTGCGGTGACAACACAGGTCAGTGGGGCTTTAAAGTGTTGACGCAACTCCCCGGGAAGAGAGTGGACGCAGCTTCGGAGACGGATGGCTGGCTAGTTAGCTACGTAGCTTGACCTTCTCCGTAGTGGCGGGGAGTGAGGCGGAGGGACCGTTAGACCCAGTGCTGCCGCTGGCCACCAACTGTTCGGTTCATTTCCTGTAACCAATGGAGCATTAAAGCTCGGTGGAATTAGCATGTTAACTAGCTAGTTTGCTGATTCCATCATTAGCATTAAAACATGGTGGAACTAGCAGTTTGTAATTCCACCCTGCGTTGCCCGCCGCTCTGTCCATCCTGCTACGTTGATATGATTGGGAATGTCCAATTCTATTTCTTTGCCCTAAGCTTACTGCAGTTTATCTGCAGTGGACCCTAGAGCTCTTGGACAAAAATACAAAAAACAAACCTTTTTGTTGGTGAGGGAAAGCTTACTAGATAATAAATGAAACATCTTTCAACCTTTCATCTCTGATGTTGATGCAAAGCAGTCTGAGTTGCCTGTACATTTCCCTGTGTTTTGCTGCATCACGCCTCAAGCAGTCCAACTGTTGTAATAACATCTGCTTCGTAGTCTGCAACACTCTGGATTTATGAGGCTAATAATCACAGAAACACAATGCTATTCATGTGGGTTATATTCTAGAACTGTAAAATATTTACCACAGTGTGGGGAAATCAACCGCAATTAAGAGATAACCTAGAGGATGGTAAATATGTTACATACAAATTAAATGTATCCTGGCTAGATTTTTAAGTGTTTTTGATATTAGCCACCAACAGCTAAATGCAGTGTTTCTATTGGAATTAGTTCAATGTTCTCTTCCATTAGTGTCACACTCCACTTCAGTGATGTACGAGCTTCTTGGTGTTATCTAGTTCAGTAACATACTGCTGCACACACAGATCAATACTGAACACTGCTTAACTTGTGTGGCCACACATCCAATCTTTTACCACTATAAAAGCACAACCTCCTTCTCTGACCTTTACCACAAAAGGTGTCCGCGGGGAAAAGAGACAATTCGCCGTGAAATGAGGAGGATAAGATTGATTCACCGAGATATCTCAGTGTAGTGTGCTGCCAGTGGAACTGTCCAACGTACACCACATTGATTTATTTAAAGGAAATGAAGTATAAAGGCCAATTGCGTTTGCACTGCGGTTTGTCTCCGAAGATTCTTGATCTCAGTCAGTCAGTTTTACCTTCTTCAATGGTTCAGCTAGTCCACCTGCTAAATTCAGCGTCATGTTTCATTCAGTAGAACTCTGATTTAACATATCAGCAGTCACAAACATAGCGTTCACTCACTTTACATGGAGCTAAAATTCATACCAAAGTATGTTAAATCATGTTGGCCGAATGAGTCAGTGTCTGTTTAAGCTTAAGTAGATGTTTACTAGTAAGCTTGGCTTCATTCAATTTAACAATATTTCCCCCCGACAGAGGGGACTGTTGAACACTTTATTTATCTCATTGTCATGCATTTAAAATATTAATTGACTTCACAATTCACTTTATGTGATAAATTTGTCTTCACAAAGCAGAATTCTGATTTAATGAAATCACGTGTTATAAAGATTGCGAAGTCGTGCTGACTGCTGGTGTTTCGAGATGTATGTAGAGGAGTAACGTTACAAAGTTTATTTAACTTAGTTAACGGAAGAGCTGTTAAAGTTAAATATAGGAGTTGTACAAAGTCATATGCTATGATTTAGGAGTGACACAGGGACACGGGGACCCCTGATCTGTTAAATTGAGCAATATGTTAATGGATCTAGCAGTCACTGGACTCCAAAAACCCCAGTGTGTGTTTTTGGAGCAATGGGGTCAGCCCCCTCATGTGTGTGTGTGTTACTGGTTGTATGTGAGGTGTGAGATCTGTTCACACTGATGTCAGATATGGGTAATTTCAAGCCCTGTAACGTGAACGTAGACCAAACTCACAAGGGAGGAAGGGTGCTAACAAGGTACAGGTGACAGCAGGTCTAATGAGGGACAGGTGAGAACAATCAGGGAGGGCAATTAATCACACAGGTGGGAAACACACACAAAGACAGGAAGTGAAGTGCTCTGCAACGAGAGAGGAGGTGGGTATCAAAATTAGACAGGAAACATTGAACTATGTGGGTTGATTGTGTCAACATGGGTATATTTGTATATTTCAGAGGATGGCTCAACAAACATACAGAACCTTTATGTAAACTATCTATTTGATTGGTAATATATTAGTGCCAGTAATGCGTGGTTAGAGTTGTGGTTCTTGTTTCTTACTATGATATTTAATCAAGTTCAATGTTAAATGCCTCAAAGGTTTGTTTACATGACTCTATAGATACCGCGTCCTTTTCTAAAAAAATATTGCTGTGAATGTTTTTACAGCCACAGATAATTTCATCTTCAAAGATTATTTTATAAGTTTGAGCTGTGAAGATGATTCAAACAATCTTCTTTCATTTTCATAATCAGACTCGACCAAGGTTGAAGTCTGCTGCGCTGCACCGCTGATATGATGAATTTATTGTGTAAAGTCGTTGTCTCCAAGAACCATCTAGAATGTTTCAACGTGAATTGTACTGGATGACCTTGCATTTTTTCCTTCGCTCTTTACTGCACTGACTTCTGCAGTCTTGAATGCCTGTCCCTGAGGTGTGTTGTGTACTTCTACTTTAAACTCACAACAAATCAACATTTTCATTGCAGAAGCAGAAAGCTGCAGGCTATAAGATGCCTGCTCAGAAGTCTCAATACAAAAGGGGAAAAAAGAATAAAACCAAGCTTGAGCTGACACAAACGTATGGTCAAATTGTTTTTTATTAGTATTACTCTTTATTAGTCATCCATTTTCATTAGACAACAGCAAGGAAATATCTGACCATGGAATTGCCATTTTAGAGGGGTCATGTATGTGCTTCATAGTGTGTGGAGAAAAAAAAGGGAAGTAAGCAAACAATGTGTGACATGAAAATGGAGTTTTAAAGGTTTTTGCAGGATACTGATCTCCTTCATGAGGTCTGTGAATGTACAGTATGTGGAACTGGGGTTTCCTTTGTGGGAAGTCCAGTCGCCCTGACGGCCTCATAGGTGTGGGGAACCTAACCTAAGCATGCTGGACTGCCAACTGTAACAGCTGCATGAACGTGTGTGTGTGTGTGTGTGTGTGTGTGTGTGTGTGTGTG